GGCGTGGGGGGGTAAGAGCGCTGTTCCCGCCTGGGGGATGCCACTCCCGCCGCTGGGGCAAAGTGCCCAAAGCTGGACTGCTGCTTGTTTTTTGTCCTGCCCGGAAACTGGGAGACTGTTGGGGGGGAGGGGGCTTTTGCTGAAGGACCCCCACCCCTAAATATAAGGGGGGGGGTCCTTGGGCCAGAGTTGGACCCCCCTTTTTGTAGTCCCCCCCCCCTTCCCCAGGCTGGACTACTGCCTGCCACACTTTTATGGGGCTTGGCTTGGAGACTGGACTGTCACCCCACCCCCAAGAGTCTGTCTTTGGCTTAAGGAGAAACTCCCCCCACCCTCACCCCCCCATAAATATGGGGAGAGGTCCTTGGGCAGTCTCTGGGATGGGGTTTGAGCCCCTCCACCTTTGAAGCTGGGCTACTGCCTGCCACCCTTCTATGGGGCTTGGCTTGGAGACTGGACGGCCCCTTCCAACTTTGTCATTCTGTTCCTATTCCTGTTCCGTTCTGTTCAAAATTCTATTCTGTTCTTCTGTTCTGTATTAGACTCAATTTGTAATTCTGTTCTGTTCTTTCTAGTTTATTGTATTTCTATTTCTATTCTGTTCTATTTATGTTCTATTCTTTCTATTCTCTATTCTATTCTAGTCATTTTCTGTTCTGTATTCTGTTCTAATTCTATTCTGTTTTGTATTCTAATCTATTCTAATCATATTCTGTTCTGTATTATTTTCTAAATCTATTCTATTCTTATTCTGTTTCTATTCTGTTCTATTTCTATTCTGTTGTGTCCTCTATTCTATTCTAATCATACTCTGTTCTGTATTCCATTCTGTTCGAATTCTGTTGTATTCTGTTCTTCTATTCTGTATTCTACACTTTGTATTTCTGTTTGTACTTTTTATTTTATTCTATTTCTGATTCTATTCTGTTCTGTTGTATTTCATTCTTTCTAATTCTATTCTGTTCTGTTCTATTCTCTATTCTAATCATTTTGTTCTGTATTCTGTTCTGTTCTAATTCTATTTTGTATTCTACTCTATTCCTATTCTGTTCTATTCTTTCTATTTTATTCTATTTTTATCCTATTCCATTGTATTCTAGTCTATATTCTATTTTAATATTCTGTTCTGTATGATTTTCTAAATCTATTCTATATTCTATTCTAATCATATTCTGTTCTTTATTCTGTTCTGTCCTTGAGTTGAGCCCCAACTTCATGTTGCAAAGTGAAACATTTGTTTAAAGGAGTTTTCCCGGTTTATGATTTTTCATGCCACAGTTTTTAAGTGACTCGCTGCCTGTTTTGTTGGTAGTCACACGCTTGTTAAGTGAATCCGACTTCGCTCCTCAGAAAGTCGTGTGAGGGAAATCACGTCGTAAATACAAGTCCGTTGGCCAGCGTCTGGATTTTGAGCCCATCACCCGGAGAGAAAGGAAGGAAGGGGAAAAGGAAGGAAGGAAAAGAAAGGGAAAAAGGGAAAGGAAAAGGAGGAAAAATGGAAGTAATGAATGTATGAAGGAAGAAAGGGAGGGTGGAAGGAAGGAAGGAAAGGAAGGAGAACAGGAATAAAAAAATAGGAAGGAAAAGAGGGAAGAGAACGGGAGGGAAGAAGGAAGTATTGAATTAATGATGGATTAATGTAGGAAGGGAAAGGAGGGAAGGAATGGAGAAAGGAAGGAAGGAAAGGAAAGAAGGAAGAAGGGAGGGAAGGAAGGAAAACAAGGAAGGAAAAGAAACGGAAAGGGAGAGAAGGAAGGAAAAAAGGAAATGAAAGAGAAAAAGGAAGGAAAGGTAGGGTAGAAGGAAAGGAAGGAAGAATGAAGGGAGGAAGGAAGGAAGGAGTAAATGAAGGGAAGGGAGGGAAGAAGAAAGGAAAAGAGAGAAGAAGGAAGGAAGGAAAGAAAAAGGCCAAATTTCAGTTCCATCATGGAAACTTATGTTTTCTTTCCCCATTGTTACGTCACAAGTATTTATATCTATTTATCCAATTTATTCGGCAAGCTGATCAAAAACCTATCAAAACTTGATTGAAAAAAAAATTCTCGGCGGCCTGCGTTGGTTTATTCGGGGACCGTTCCAAGTTATGACGTCACCACATCCTTACGACCATTCCTCCTGGGACTGTTTTCCCAGTTACACCCCCCCCCCAAATGGGGGAACTGAGGACCGTTTATGTCATGCTTAACGATCATCGCGGCTTCTAAAATTCCCACGACTCGTATTTATGACGGTCGTTTAACTTGATTTGCTTTAGTGCCGCTTTAACAGCGCCATTTTGATTGACTTCTCTTCCGAGGAGGGAATTTAAAACAAACAAACAAAAAACCTGGGGGGGGGGGGGGGGGGGGAATTCAGACGCCTGTCATTCATGGATGACTCACAGGTGTCATTGAAGATTGACGACCATGGCTTCCCAAGGGCCGATGGGATCAACACTGAGACACTGGGAAATGGACTCAAGTTTTACGAGGTTGTAGTGGTCGCTGTCAAACTTTTGCCTCCTCCTGGATCCAGGGGATTTTTCCATCCATGTTGGCTTAAGTCTTGTTTTTCGTTTCAGCTGCCCCGAAGAAGCACCTGGTTAATCCGAGGTTCCCCTGGTAGTTTAACGGTGGCTACCATTTTGTGGAATAAGCCAGGATAATTAACTGTGATTGAAAACCGTGGTTTTATATCCTGGATTGAAAATAATCCTGATTCGGTCCAAAGGAAGACGAGAATATAATTAGAAGCTTTCTGGTTTGAACCATCAGAGAGCAAGGAGGGAGGGAGGGAGGGAGGGAGGGAAGGAAGGAAGAAAGGAAAGAAGGAAAAAAATAGAAAGGGAAGGAAGGGAAGGGAGGGAAGAAGGAAATAGTGAATGAATTGAAGGAAGGAAAGATGGAAGGAAGGAAAGTAGGAAGGATGAAAGAAATGAATAGGAAGGGAAGAAGGGAGGGAAGAAGAAAATAGTGAATCAATTGGAAAGAAGGAAGGGTGGAAAAGAAAGGAAGGAAGGAAAATAAATGGAGAGGGAAGAGAGGGAAGAAGGAAGGAAAATAAGGATGGAAAAGGGAGGGAAGGAAGGAAAGAAAAGGGAAGTGAAAGGAAAAGAAGTAAAGTGAAGGAAAGAAGAAGTAAAGGAAGGAAGGGAGGAAAAGAATGGGGAGGGAAGAAGGAGGTAATGAATTAATGAGGGAAGGAAGGGAAGGAAAGGAGAAAGGAAAAAAGGAAGGAAAGAAAGAAAAGGAATGCAGGTTTTAAAGTAATTAAGTGAATTTTTAAGTAATTAAGTCAAGGATTGCCTCTCTTTGTTTCCAGGGAAATGGAGGGCAAATAAATTTAATAATGAAATTAAAATTGGGAAGATTCTCATTTCCAAATGCAGCTAATCCGCGACTTATGACCACAATCGAGGCCCTCCCGCCCCCCCAAAAAATTTCTGGGGTCAAAAAGCGATACATTTGCTAAAGGGCATTTTGCCCCATTTTGCCACCTTTCCTGCCGTGGTCGTTAAGTGAATTGTTGCACCGGCGTTAAGTGAGTCACGTGGTGGGTAAACCAATTCAGCTTCCAGCTTTATCAGAAGGTCACAAAAGGCGATCACGGGGCTGTGCGGCCGTCGTGAATATGAGCTGGTTGCCCAATTTTGACGGTTGTAAGAGTGAGAAAAAACCCTTTTGGGGAGGGTGGTTGTAATTTTGAGCAGCGACTAAACGAAGCGTCATAAGTCAAGGACTAGTCCCGGGAGGCATGGCGGTGCCACAAGCAGCGGCATACTGGCAGTATCCTCCTAAATTTGTCCTCTTCTTTCCAATCATCCCCCAGCAGGCATCGCAACGGGATGCAGCACCCGCTCGTCATCGTCTTCCGCCGACGCCCACCGACTCCGACCAAATCTTCGACCGGGAGGACCAAGCAGCCGAGATCGCCCTGACCTTGGTGGCTTCCTTCCAAGCCATGGAGAAGAAGGTGGATTCACACACCAGCCGCCTGCTGGACCTGGAAGGCAGAACCGGGACGGTGGAGAAGAAGGTTCTGGATTGCGAGAAGACAACGGGGGAGATCGGAGGCCAGCTGGAGAGCAAATGGGCTGCTCTGGGGACCCTCATTCAGGAATACGGCCTGCTGCAACGCCGCTTGGAAAATATGGAGAACCTCCTGAAGAACCGCAACTTCTGGATATTGCGCTTCCCGCCGGGCTCCAAGGGCGAGACGCCGAAAGTAGGTTCGGCTCTTGGGCTTGTTCGTTCCCGGGACTCGAACGCAACGAGAATTAGATCGGGAGTTTCCAACTCCCGAGCTGGAGCACAACAGTCTACAGCCCTGTACTGATCCACAACCCTGTCCCAATCCGTAGCCCTGCCCCAGTCCTCATCCCTGCACCCATCCGCAGCCTTGGCACTGGTCTGCAGTCCATTACTGGTCCGTGGCCTGGCACCGGTGCTCATCCATGACCCAGTCCACAGCCCTGACTCGATCCGTAACCCTACCCCTGTCTTCGTCTTTACATCAGTCCACAGCTAAGCACCAGTCCTCCTCCTGACACCCATCTGCAGCCTGGTATTGGTCCTCATCCCTGAATCTGTTCTGACCTCGGCTTCCCCCCAAAAGCTCTAAGCTGACTCTTTGTCCCGGCAAAACCCCTTTTATTAAACGAAGGCAAATTTCTTGCATTCGCATTCAGCCAAAGGCCTGGCCAACAGCCTTTCAAGGGTGTCATTCAGAGCACAGCCCTGATCTAGCCGGGAGAGCTGCCAAGTAACTATTTCCAAACGCAGTGCTGACAAGGAAGGACTCGGCTCAGTCTCTGAGATCCACAGACAGATCTTCACACTGCTGCAACGAACGAATTGTTTCCTGCAAAAGCCCCTCCCCTTTTGCTCCCCTTTTAATACCTATGGAAGGGGCCATACAGCGTCCACCTGTGGCTTTACTCCCACGTTGACCCTTAGTTTGTCATTGTTCTTTTCCTTTGGCAGTTCTGCGCATGCGCACACTGGGAGCAGGCTCCAGCTGCTCCCCCGCCTCACTGCTGAAGGCAGCTGATAATTGCCAGCCTGCCCTGACCCCATCTCTGCCTCTGACGCAGAGCCCTCGTCCGAGCTTTTCTCAGCCTCCAGGACTGGCCCAGGTTCCTACCCAACCTCCTCACTGTCTGACTCTGCTGCCAGCTCTGCTAACTGCCGGTGGGCCACAAAAGAATCGGCCGTTGTCCCTGCCCCTGTCCACAGCCTTGCCCCGATCCGTAACCCTGCACCAGTCCTCATCCCTTCACCGGTCTGCAGCCCAGCACCCATCCGCAGCCCGTCAGGAATCAGGTTGTAAAAACGAGCAAAGTCATCGGCACACATTTAGGAACCTAGCAGCCTACGAAACTATGGTTCCCTCTGCCCGGTCTGGGGTAAAACCACCCTGAAGCGAACCAGTGCCCCAAATGTTGGAAGTTCCCAGACATGAGAGGGCCTCAAGGAGAGATGAAGGGCCACACGGAATGTGTGACTGACCCCACCAGAATCAGCCTTGGTCCTCTCGAGGACTTGGCTTCGGCGAGAAGCTGGGCTGCCTCTGTGTGTGTGTTTGCGTGTGTTGGACTAATGCGGGGGTCCCCAACCTGTAATCGCCACTGAGTCGCATGAGGAGGCAAGCAGTGCATGCTCCTCGGCACAAGCACACAGCCCCGCGTGCCTGAGCATCGTGGTGGGTGCTCACGGATCCACTCATATGAGCGTCGCTGCAAATATCTGGGTGCTTCTGTGTGTGCACACAGGCGCACAGGGACTAGGCCACCACCCCCAAAAGGATGGAAGGAAAGAAGATGGATGGATGTGGAAAGAAAGAAGGAAGGAAGATGGATAGATAAGGAAGGAAGGAAGGAAAGATGGATGGATGGATGGATGTGAAAGGAAGGAAAGGAAGGAGATGGATGGATGTGGAAGGGAGGAAGGAAAGATGGATGAAGGTGAAAGGAAGGAAAGAAGGAAGGAAGATAGATGGATGTGGAAAGAAGGAAGGAAAGATGGATGGATGTGAAAGGAAGGAAAGAAAGATGGAAGGAAGATGGATGTGGAAGGAAGGAAGGAAGATGGATGGATGTGGAAGGAAAGAAAGATGAATGGATGTGAAAGGAAGGAAGGAAGGAAAGAAGGGGATGGATGTGGA